GCTTGCTGATGGCTTTGGTCTTCTTACAGGCTGAAGTTTTTCTTGAATTGGAGCTGATTGATGTGGCCATGTGCTCAAGAAGGGTGCAGTCAGTGCTAGATGTTCTTGACTATGCAATGGAAGCTCAGTGTCAGCGCTACCTAACTGGAACCACACCTGACTTTCTAAACCAGTAATTTTGCTTACTTCAGATGAAGTTGTAGACTTGGAAGGAAATTGTAAGAGAGCTTGATAAATTAATAGTGGCTGGGCATGCCACTATGTGGTTAATTACCAAGGTAATTCACAGAACTACCAAAATCTTCATGCTGGTGATGCTTTTACAGGGCATCAAAGAGCAGAAGAGGTCACTGAAACTCAATGTTAACAGCTGGATTTGTAGACTTCTTTTCATGCTTCTCATTGTTAGTATTAGAGCCAGTAGTGGTCTTTCTTTCGTGTGTTTTGGGTCCAGAAAAACTGCAAATGATAAGCCATCTTGAAGAAAACAAGAATCTCTAGTAAATCTTTTACTTATCTGTCAGGGGCCTGATGCATCTCTGAGCTAGGTTGCTTTACTCTAGATTGGTCCAGGTATTCTGCTGATGCAGCACCTTGTCAGAAGGGTCAGATTCCATTTTCCCTTCTGTAGTGTTCCCTCTGAGTACAACAAGTCAGCTCTGCCTGCTGCTCAGCTATGTCTTCTGAAGGAAAATAATGTACAAATGTGAGGGGCTGTCTAACCTTAGCTGTGGCATATTGACCTGCAGCTGCTTCCATGAATCTGGGAAGTTTCACAGATGGCACCATGGTCTTGTTTCTAAAAGGTCATTTCAGAGCTCAAGAAGGGAGTGCTTAGCTTTGCCAGAAGAGTAGATTCTGACCTTTTGGCTCTTGCATTAATTACCTGGAATGCTAAGGTGAGAGAAAGCATCCTCCAAAAAAATTCTAGAGAAATTACATCTTCTCAATATTTTTGTAAATAGAGTTTTCAAGCTCTTCGTAGCTTAAAGTCTTTTTGGATTGCAACCAGGAGAAATGGTTGTTTTCACAGTTCTTAAAACACAGCTGGTCTTCCAGTTTTAAGGAATGCTTGAGATCCTTGAGTAAACGTTACAGTGCATCTTGATTCAATTTGAAAAAGTACTGGCTTTGTCCAGTTTCAGATAAATTTCCATGCACACCATAAAACCATATACAGTAGCTGCTTTGCTTCTAAGAAAGTAAATGTGATTGTACATCTTGTGTGCAAAACTCTGATATGACTAAAATTTATCAAGATTTTTTCAGTACAATGAAGACACAAAGGGAGAGGTTTGTTGGGAGCTTCATTGCGAACAAGTGTTTAAGCAGCTTTGTGTTCATGTGAATTGTAAATTGAAATACATTCCTATAGCACATCTTGTCATCTTGCTGCTGTCATAGTTGAATTAATCCATTATCATCAATTTCTCTCCTTTGCTCAGGGAGGCTCTCTTCACTGAGCTGTTACCTTTAGATCTGTTGCATCTTCTACTTGAGTATTGCATTGACTATTCCATTGTAATGCCAGAACTTTTATTATGTTTCTCTATTTGTTAAACTTAACTCCTGGAAAAGAAACCATATATTCTTCCTGGCAAATTTTCCTGAGGGATGAAGGTATTTGTATTACAAAACTGAGTCCCCAGCTCCCTATTTGTATTAGGAGGTGATAGGTGCTCAGTGAAGCAATCTGCTCTGCAGTGCTTATGTGCTCTTCTGTGAACTTGGCTTCAAAATATTTCAACCCTATAAGCATGCACCTACTCTGACCTTCACAAGTAATGTTATCCAATATTTAAGCCATGTGCATGAGCCTGTAAACTCTTAGAAGACTGGTTAATATCAAAACAAAGGCAAAACCTACACAGAGGCATTTTTTTGAGATATGGAAAATATTTTGTTGGGGGAGGGGATGATGCAGCTGAAGCATGGCAGTAATTACAGGTACAGGAGTTCTCTTTAGGCCATTAGCACTATTCACTGCCACGTGTTTGCTGCTTGTTTGTTAATATTGGAATTGAAATATTTAATATGCTGAGAATGAGGTTTGTTTTTTTTTTAATCTGAATCTGTAAACTGGATCACCATTATGCAGCTTCTGATTTTTAATTGACACCGTTGAAAATATTTGTTTAAGGATGCCTCTGTCTGCTCCCTAACAAGAAGAACATTCATAATCTGGAAAACTCTGAAGTACAAAGTGGCTTATTCAGTCCCGTGTTAGAGAACACGCTTGAGAGATATGGAAAATAATTTCTCTGCTTTCTGCTGTTGAGTGTTTACACAGCATCGGTGCAGGTTTAGCTTTCAAATAGTTTGCCATGCTATGGGATAGAAGGTCCTGGAAAAGCTGCCTCTTTGAAGAACCATGTTTGAATGATTTTTTTTCAAGAGTCTCTCAGCTGGACACCCTAAATTAAAAATTCCTTGAATTAATAGGTGCTTCTCACAGGCTAGAAGTCTGATCTGATTTTCCAGGAAATAAGTTCATATTATTAGGAAGCAGGTCTTGCATTTCCTTGAGTTTCAAGGAGAAGGTTGAACATGTGAAAAAGCCAGCATACACCTCCTGATGAAGCGCTGTGTGCAGTCCCCTGTGGTCACCTGGGTTACACTCAAAGTTGCAATGCTAGAAGTCTAGGTTCTTAACACTCATTCTGTAGAAGTTATTGGAGCAAAGACATGTGTTATTTTCAGCAATTTGGGATGAACTGCCCCTTCTTCAAAAGCTTTGACTGCTGAATCTTGAAGATCCCAGAAAATAAATTGTATGCTGTTCTTAGTTTGACTAACAAATCTGTCAACACGCTTTCTGATAATCTGCTTTGCCAGACAATTTGTTTTGAGTTCACATTGCTTCAGTTTCCTTGACTCCTAATAATGATTCTTGGCATCATGCTATCTCCTTCCAGGTAAATGTGATTCTTCAGTAAAAGTCAAAATTGGTTAGTGTAGTTAGACTAATTTGAAAATTGATTTTTTTTTTTTTATGTCTTGTGCTTAAATCAAAATGTCAGATTGTTGATGGCTTATTCTTAAATAGTTTGAGATGAGATTTTTGTGTGTGTGTCTTGCTTGTCTTTCAGCAGCACTCTGATGAGCTCTTGGCATTTCAGAGCAATGGGTAGCATGTGTATTTTCAGCATATATAAAACATGGGAAGGTTCATGAAAAGGCTGCTATGTTATGAAATGCAGTTTTCATACTCCTGCTGCAGGTACTGATTTCTGAAACTTGTGGTAACATTTGAAACTGTTTTGATAATTCAGCTGATCTCAAGTAATCTAACAACTATTTAATTTTTCTTCCACTTTTCATTTCTTTTAGCTGGGATGTGACAGCAAACATAAGAAGAACTGTTGAAACTTGATTTTTCTCCTGGTCTTGGAAAAGTCTAGTTTTTGTTTTGCTTGTAACTCTGTGATTTCATGGGAAAGCTGTTCATTGGCCACAGATGACTACTACTGAGAGGCTTTCCGAAATCTGTTTCGGATTACAGAGAGGTAGTAAAAAAGTGCTATGATGACACCAGTTCCATTTGAGGTTCCTTTTGTCCTAGACAATAATGGGTTTGTTTGGCACTCAGTGCTGCAGTTATGCAAAACAATTGCTCAGTCATCATAGGTCACATGTTCTTTATATGTATTAAACAAAGATGAAAAAGAGCCAGTAATTCATATCTTTATTTTTGTCAAAGATTATAACCTTTCCAGTTTTTCAACAATCACTGCTCTCTAAGAAGAAGGGGCATGGAAATGCACTGTACCATGCACAAGTTCTGCTCCCCACCAGAAACTGATGAATCCAGAGTGCAAAACACAATGGGAGCCCTGCTCCAGTGAGACCCAGGCGTGTACTTAAAATAGGAAATGGTTATTGGAACTAAATTATTTTGCCATTTTTATTTTTAGGTTTGCTGGCATGGGTAATCTCATTAAGGTGCTAACCAGGGACATAGACCACAATGCAGCACATTTTTTCTTGGATTTTGAAAGTAAGTCTCTCAGCCCTTCACAGCTGGTGCATTTCAAATGGTAACAGTAGGGTTGCTTATACCTGCTGCAGTGAAGGCCAGGGGACTCAATTGTGAAGTTGGAATTTGAAAGAGTTGCATGTTTTTTCTGTTCCTTTTTTTTTTTTCCTTTTTTTTCCCCCCTCTCCAGTGGTAGCTAAGCCACCATCATGCTGCTGTGTAAATTTTCTTTCCATGTGCTTAGTCATTTTGGGTCTCTGTGGTCAGTGATGTCCATCCATCTGCCTGCAAATCAAATAATCATGAAATGAGAAATTCTGTCAGTATGCCATAGTAATCTGTGCTGAGCAGTTGTTCACTGTAATCCTCTCATACACAGGAGTGAGTGCTAAATCATTCCTGATCCTGCTTTGGTCATTCATCGTGCAGTTAATGTGTGTTTGTTTACATCCAAAAGTCTGAATTGAAACTGTCTTGAGTTTCACAGATGTTTTAGGCACCTTGTGTAAAAGATCTGTGGCACATCTCTGTTAGCATTTTCTGCACACTGAAATGATGTATCATGATGTGGTTTTCTATGATGGCCTTCTTACACAATTATAAGGGCTGACAAAATTAAAGCTCTTTCCTTCTGTTGTCCCATCAGGTTAAAATCAAGCATGGCTAATGCTTTCAAATGTGGTACTTGGCCCTCAAGGCAGTACTCCTGCTCAGGACACTGGTGCTAGGGTGTACTGGGACAGAACAGTCCCTGGCAAAGCCTTCCATTGGATTCTGCCCCTTTCCCAAAGGGGCAGCTGTGAGGATGTTGGTGACATGGTCACTTCTTGCAGGAAAGCTGCACTGCTGAGGTCACCAGCTGTGCATCCTCGAGGTGGGGATGTCCCTTCACCCAGCCTGAAGGACGGGTTCGTACCTGATGGAACTCTCTGGTCTTCTTTTCCCGCTGCTTCAATCAACTACATTTGGGCTGTACTTTCTTATACAAAGAAAATTTTCTTTTCTCTTATTCTTGTCTTGGCAGGTACCTTAACATGGGGAACCTTCTAAAAGTTTTGACATGCACAGACCTTGAGCAGGGGCCAAATTTTTTCCTTGATTTTGAAAGTGAGAAGATGATTTTATATATCTATTACTCTTTGCCTGCAGTAGACTGCATTTGTCATGTACTAAATGTATGTTTTCATTTTGCCATCCTTCTAACTGCTTTGCATGCCCGAGCTATGGATAATTGTTCAGCGAATTTCAGTAGAAAGCAATAACCTGCTCTAAAATATCCTCAGGTCCTAAAATGTAAAATCTTTATTTCAGGAAGGGCTTTCAAATTACATTTGACTGCTGAAACCTGATTTGGTTCTTGAAAATTAAACCAAAATTCTGCCTACTTCTAATCAAAATGTTAAGAATAGTTGTAATTACGTAATTGGAGACTTACTGAAGTTGCAACTGACTTACTCAAATTTGGAACTGAAAATGAAATTCTCATCACTTCCAATGTGACTTAATAATGCTGCATACACAGAATGGCTCACAACAGCTATTCATAGCTCCAGCATCATCATGTTAAAGGTTATATGTGAACCTTACTGGATCTGCCACTGAAATTTAACCTCTTGCCTTCTTAAAAGGGGATCTCAAAGTGTATAGAGATGAAGTTGATTTTGGAAAGAAGAGGCATGTAGCTTGTCTGATCAATGTCAGGTGTTCTAGAAGGTTCACATATGTCAATATTTCTGCTTTTCGTTTTTGTTGCATGATACAGGATAGCCTAAGAATGGCAGGTAAGTGCTGCTACCTTCTGCTATGCATGTTTAATTACTTTCTTTTGGGATATGCTGTTTCTTTAGCCAGCTGTAAATCAGCAAGCATAAAATAAGATTAATGTTCAAGTACCTTTTGACCATGTAATAGAATAAAATGGAATAGGGCAATGAAAAAAAAAATTATGAAATATTATGATATGGATAATTTTCAGGTATTATATCTTTTTCCCCTGAGTTGTTTTTCAGTTGTTTGTTTGATGAAACAGTAGCAGTTTTTTATATTAGTTGTAATACAGAAGCAAGTGCTTGAAGAAATATGGTTTTGCTTCAATGACATTTAAAGTTACAACTTCTCTAAACCCTTATCCTGTAGTGCTAATTTTTATCACTTGTCTCTTCTGAATATATTGTTATTGGAAGATGCTAGCTATACAAATTATTCATAAAGGGAAGATTAGCAGGGCCTGTGTTCAAAAATCAGAAAGCAAAATTTGTCTAAGACCAATTCTTGCATATAGTCATAATAGGTAAAATTTAGTGAAGTGGGAGAGCTCATGTATGAGGCCATTAGAGTTGTGAAGCTCCAGCTTAATCTGTAAATACTGAAAATTTAATTGGAGTAAATTAAATTCACGTTAGCTGGATAGAAGAGGCATAGTTCTAAAATAAATTGCAATAAAAATTGGTCTTTTTTCTTTTTAGTACGGATTCTTTAGATATCACTTTTGTTTTAAAATGCATGTTTTGAGCATGAACAGGATTTGGCATGAGAGTAAGCAGGTTGCTGACATGAAATGCTTTCTTATGCAGTCAAATCAGGTGACTTATATTATGGCTGAATTGTTAGACTGATCTTTGTTCATTTTAGACCCTGTTCTACATTTGTTTCTGCTGCTATACTGTGTGTCCATGCTTCTTTCTCCTCTGTTTCAGAGAGCTTGCCTTGACAGGATCTTGGCTTTGACACAGCCAAGATCTTTCTTCAAGACTTGGCACTTAGTCTTGTGATACTTAATGTTGTAGTTTTGTGTGGAAGGACAAGTAAGCTCTGTATTAAAACAAATTTGCCAATTCTGTGTGACTCCTGCCCCAGTAATAGGCAGCTTGAAGTCTTTTGTTCTTAAATCCATGTATGTGAGCAGGCTCCAATGTTTGTTACATAATACCATAAAGAACTAAAACCTAATGTTCATAAAGCTTTGTAGAGCCAGAAACTTCAAATTTAGAAAGGTTTTAGCCTTCTAACCATTCTTTTTTCCCCCAGATGTTTATCTTGGTGCTAGGTTCCAGTGATTGGTGTTACTGACTATGAGAATCCATGTAAAAAATATGATGAGCTGTAAGCTTTTCTTTACCTCCACACTGGTTAAGCTTATGCTTTCTTTGGTCATTCACCTTACCTGTTTGAAACAAATAGTTGTCTTGAGTGTTCTTTGAAAGTCTGTGCAGTGCCACTGAGCAAAGTGCACAGGTCAATATTGTTCACCTAAAATGTGAGGAACTTACAGCTCAACTTTTGCATTGGTGTCATTACTGTCACAGTTGCAAATCCATTCCAAATTTACAGATTTGAATAGCAGCTAAAATACAGTGTACTTAGAGATGGTGATATCAAGCTAGCACTGACAGTATCCTGCATTATCTCCAGAGGACTTGGCCAGGTTTCAGAGGAGCCACAGAGACAGCATTCTCCATAGTAATGCCAGCAGAGATGAATAAATTATTTCATCTCCAGCAGTCTAGCATTTTTTTCCCCTTGTTTGTGAGTTTTGTCCCAGACATTTTCAGATGACTTGATGTGTTCTTCCCTGGGAAAAATGTCAGCTTAAATAGTTTGCTGTTCAGTGTAAACTTTTAACCCCAAATTTCTCTCTCTACTAGTTCTGTAGGCTAGCCAAATATTATTTTAATAGTCACTAAATGTGTGTGTTCCCCGCATGCAATGTGTTGTCTCACTTTTGTAGTATTTAATTCACATAACAGCGTTTGTATATTGTTTCAAGTCTCCTCTACTGTCTCTAATACATTACTGTGTGAGCATTCTGAATTCTAAGTGTATATTGCCTCTAGTGCAGTGACATTCTGATGAATGTGATTAAACAAACACAAATTAATTTAAAGATGAACTTACTTGCAGAGCCTCAGTCTTCCCTTTTCTCACTATTGGATTAAAAATAGTAGAGTTGCCCTGAGTAACCAGGGGGTCAGCTCCTGTGGCCACAGCATCAAACCTCAGAACATATGGGTGAGCTGTGCTGTGCTTAATGGGTTTGTTCTTTCCATGGAGAGCATTGCTGATAAAAGCACAGCCTTGTTGTAGCCTTGTAGCAGGAACTTAAATGGACAAGGGAGAAGGGAAATCCATGAAACTTTATGTCCTTCATCCTTCTGTCTGGATGCCTGGCACTGCTTTTTCATAGCTGCCAAGAGTAACTCCAGAAGAGCAACTCCCTTTCCTGCTCTGTGCACTCCACCTTGGGAAGAGGAGTTCCACAATTCTCAAGTGAAGGTCCTGTGGCTTCAGCCCTCAGGTACATACTGAGGGGTGCTATTCCCATAATACAGGAATGCTGCCTCCATCCATTCAAGATGATAACAGTGCTTAGGAAGAGGATGCTCCCTCGTTCTTCCCCTGTGATGCAATTTCAGAATACAATGCCCTGATTAGCACTGGGTAGCAAATAAACCAATTTTGCTCTGGGTCAGCCAGCATTAGGCTCTGAAGATTTTTTAATATCATGCCTTTTAATTCTATTCTAATAATATTTTAAATGTTATTGTGAAGGGATTATAAAATAATTTAAATTTTGCTTTTTAAATTTGACCTCTCTTTTAGAGATGGCAGAGGAAATGAGTTGGGACAAATCAGGTTTATAGATGTCTTTTATTGGAGAGGACTAGGTTGAATTTCAAAAATTAAATACATACCAAAAGAAGTAACTCAGTTCCTACTTGGTTTTCAAATAGATTGATATTTAGAAGTTTGTAATAATCAAAACAAACAAGCGAATAAAAAAAACCCACCACCCCAACAAATTCAGTATCAATGTGCATTGGTTTAAGTTTCCTGGAACATTTTAAGGAAATTAAATATAGTGGTTGGCTGATTACATCCTACACTAAGAGAAGTGATGATGGTGTTGATTTGCCTAGCCAGCTGTCCAGTGAAGACCACTAGATCTGTATCTGGAAGATGATTATCATTTCTAAACACTGAGGGTTGTAGTACTGCAGCTGTTCTGCTTGTTGGCAGGTTTTGAAGTGAATTCTTTTCAGCCCTTCTGCTCTGTCCCTCTCAATCTTGAAAAAATGAACTCTCCTTACTGCACAGGGTAAAGAAAAAATGGCATGAAAAATTAAATAGGCAGGAGATGTTCTCAGTGTGAGACAATCCAAGTGACAAGTCTTGATTGCATTATTTAACAACACAATCTGGAATGTTACAGAGCTTCACGTCTTAGTCTGTATTTCACTGTAACATTTCATGTTCGTGCATGAACTGCTGCCAGTCAACTGGTGCTTCCCTGTCTGCTCTTTTCCCTCATTTTTTGTCTTCATTTCTTACAGCAGTCTTCAGCAGCTTTCAAAATTATGTGACCTTTGTGATGATCTGAAAAGCACTGGCCATTTTTACTCGATGCCTAATCAATGTGGTGCTCTTTTATTTATTTATCTTCAAAGGAGTGACCAGGTTCTTTTTAACCTGTGCTAATTCTTGATGTTTCTCAAAATACCAGTTGAACTGTTGCAAGGTCTATATATAGGCACATTTGCTAATAGTACCCACTCTTTATGCATTAAACTATAAAAATAAGAGGTATTTTGCAAAAATTACAGCAAAAATTCAGACATGCAATGTATGTGAAATTTATTTTTTCCTAATACAAATGTTGTTTTCCCTTATGTTTTTCTAGTGTGTAACCCTAAGTTACTGTGGGTGTTTTATTTCAAATGTAAATATATACGTAACTTCCGTTGGAAGTTATACATATGGATCATGGAAAAAGCACTTCTAAAAAGACATTTTCCAGACTCTTCAAACTGCACAAAGTCATGAGGATGTATTGTCCTTAGATAGCTTTTGTCTCTCCCTATAAAAAAGAATCTATTGTTAATACCCTGATTTTTGGCATTGGAAATAATGGGCTAAAATACAATGATATTTATTCCATAAGATATTTTGCCCATGTTAGCAGAGAAGTGAGTTTTTTTTAAAAGATCTTTAGTAACTAACAAATATATATATATATATATTTTTCAAATATGAGTCTAAAAGGAACTAACCTTATAGCTTCCATCAGTATTTTAAAAGAAAAAAAATTGCTTTGGGTAAACAATGTCTAAGATACTTGTCCTAGGTGATTGTTTTTAAAGGTTAAAACCTTCTGTTGATTCTTCTCAACACATACTTCTTACAGAATCACTTTTCTTTAAAAATATATATGTATCTTTTTGAAATTATGACTTAATATACTTTTGGGAAGCCCTTAGCTAATTAGAAAAGAATGGGAGACAGATCATGTCTTTAAAGACAGGGAACAAAAAAAAAAAAGTCCTACACAAGCTCACACTGGATCTTTCTGTTCTCAGCTTTGATTGTGAGGTGAGTGCAGTGAAGGATGTTTTGAGAATTAAATATATTTAGAAATAAAAGATATGGCTTCTTTCCCAAGCAGTTAAAGATGAGGCAGACAAGAAAGAAAAAAATCTGGTGCAGTTTTTTTAGATAACAATATACATGGACACCTCCTGTGCTATCTGCAGTGAGTGTCTTTTGAATGCTTACCTAAATTGCTTCCAGTGACCCTCTATTGCATCCCAAGGTGAGATTACATGATAGTCATAAAGACAACTCATCAGGATTTTTTTCTCCTAACTCACTTTTAAATAAGTCAAGAAGATAGAATCCAGGTGAATTTTGGGATGGTAAATGAAGAGACTAATAATATGAATACAGTTAGTCTCTTGGAGTTCCTTACACATTGTAGTAGCTCTTCAGAGAATGAAAATTCTTGATGAGTTGCTGCATGAAGAATTTGTCCCGTAGGTGATGGTGTGCCGATTGAATTCCATGTTGTTGTTAAAAATAAATATCTATACACTTAATATGTTCTGCTGTTTAGATGCCCAACCTACAGAATCTGAAAAGGAAATTTATAATCAGGTGAATGTAGTGTTAAAGGATGCAGAAGGAATACTGGAAGACTTGCAGTCATATAGAGGAGCTGGCCATGAAATACGAGAGGTGAGCTAGAATGTTACAATTGTGCACAACCTGTGGTTGTTCTTTGTCTGATCCTAACCAAACACTGCTGGGGTTTAACTTTGCTTGCAGGAGCTCTTTTGGCAGAGCATGTTGTCTGTTAAAATCACTGTCTTGAATTTCTGCTCTGGAATGTTTCTTTTTAACAGCAAAACAGATGTTGCTTGTTTCAGTCATATTAATCCACATATGTAATAGCAAATGATGTTTCATAGAGTTTTTGGGGTGTTTTTGTTACTGATTTTTCTCTGTGTTCCCACATAAGCTCTTGAGTTAATAGTGAATTTGGAAAGAGCATGGTGGGACTACAGTGCAATACTGGGTAGTGTTGACATCCTCTTGTATAGTAACTGGAGAAGCCTGGTTTGGTAATCCTAACACAAAAGGCATCTCATTTTCAATCCCTTTTAATTGGCTTTTATTTACTAAAGTACATGTTTGGAGCAGAAGCAAAGTTCCTGTACAGAACATCACTCCATTTTTCCTTTATAATAATGGAATAATAAAGGGTGGAATAAATATTCTCCCAGCCCCTTTTCTTTGTTCCTCACGTGCAGCAATGGGGGCTGCTTAGCTCAGAGGGAATGAGTTATTCTCTAGCATACCCTTAAGAAATAGTATTAGAGAGGAGTCTCTATTCACTCCATAGCAATTTGAGATACTCAAAGCCGTTCAGCTTTGAGAGCTTTTTCTCTCTTCAGAATTGATAAGGTAGGTTTAAGAAGGATAACTGTGTCACACAAAACCCTTAGGAGAGGAGATAGCTTACTTGTTCTTCAAGGAAGGAGCATGTTCAGGGACAGGCTGAAGGATCAGGAATGTGTGTCTGCAGCTGCCATGGATGTAGGAGAGATCCTCCTCTGGGAGGAGGTAGACATGGCAGGAGGAAAACTCTCTAGGACCAGAGAGGAGTCTGCTGCAAACCACAGCCCACTGTTGACTGAAACAGTTCCTGAAATAAAGAACTTGATGGTGAAAATGCTGCAGGAGAGTTATGAGCATTTTTATTTCTGTTTTCTTAGTATATTTTCAATTGCTAACTGGAGAGATTGAATTTAAGGTATTATATGTCTGTGAAGTTTACTGTGAAGATGAAGTCTATAAATATATCCCTCAAAGCTGTGGTGTAGTCTGTGTCCTGGTGGTGCTTTGTGTCCTTGATTAAGCATAAATGTTCCTATTGTAATAGCCTGAATTTCACAGCAATTTTTTTTTCTTTGCAAATTTGGGAATTAGTGATAGATACCAACATTAAAATGAGGCTTTGATCACTAATTTTTTTTTGCTTGGAGTAAGCACAGTAAAGTTGTTAATTTTAATTAACTTGATCTAGTTATGTAAATTTTTTTACCTGAGTAACTTGATTTTTAACCATTTCTTTATACTCTCTCCAAGTTGTTTTCCTATTCAGGATGCTTACTTTCAACACAATTTTTTAGACCTTTTTGGAACAGACATGGGTTAGTACATGCTTGTCTCTAAACTGAAAACTTTCTAGTAGGTAGATTTTTAATTATTAGCTCTTCAAACAATTGTCCTGCATAGGTGTTTTGGTTTTTTGTGTTTTGTTGTTTGGGGTTGTTTTGTCAGCAGTACATCAGTTATTCCCAATCTAAGCATACTTTTCTCCTCTCTTTTTCTAATTTAAGGCAATACAGCATCCAAATGATGAGAAGCTGCAAGAGAAAGCATGGGGTGCAGTTGTTCCACTAGTAGGCAAACTAAAGAAATTCTATGAATTTTCTCAAAGACTAGGTAAGTGGAAAGGTGTTAACTTGGGGTTTTTTTGTCTTCATTAATCAGTATTTTTGGCATATTCAGGTGTGATCACATCTAGGTCAATTCCTATGTGGAAAAGAGCTCATATTGCACAGGTTCCTTCCAAACACTGGATGACAGCTAACTTGCTTCAGTGGATACCTGAGAGAAGAGAGAGAATGGGATCATCTTTGTTACTCTTCTTCTACTCCTTTAATATCTCCTTTAATAAGGAAAGCAGTAACCAGCTGATTAACTGAAAATTAGTAGACTAAATAATCAGGAATTAATTCTGTCTTTCTGATACCAAGAGTACTTAAAAGTGACTATTATTCCTCCCAGAACACCAGAAATAATTTGCTATGTGGAAATGCCTGATCTTGGTTTTGTACACATGCAGTACTTGAGATGGTGCTTCCTGCCTCTTCTGAAACTCACTGATGTGGTGGCTATGCTGATAAAATATATGAGACTTGTTTTTTACCAGCTTTCTGTTGTTATCTCATTTTTAATCAAATTTATTAACATAGCTTGTAAAAAACTTGTTTAAAACATGAAAACTATTTGCAGGCAAGTTCTGGTTTATAAAATGTATGTGTTTCTCAAGGAGATGAACGGGAAGCTGGATTATAAATTTATCTTAAATAAGGCATGACTTCTGCTTACAGCTATGTGCCTCTTGAATTCTGTGTTGTCCTAAAGGCTGAAGTCTATTAACACAGATTATTGAAATATGTTCCACAAATGTTGCAGACAAAGTTTGAGTAAAACTTTTCAAGAAGTTTTTTTTGTGGCTGTCAGTGCTGATGAGACCTGGTCTGTACCGCAATTTGTATGTAAATATAACAGCAGTTTACACGTAGATAAGCAATTCATCAAGTCCCTTTATTATTAATCACCATGTATGTTGGCAGCTGTATATTTTAGGTCTAGCATGCAGAATATCAGCCAGTATTGATACAAGAAGCAGGTGCAGTTGTAAGTTGCAAGCTCCTCTCCTGTTGTTGCAGAGGCAGGACTGCGGGGCCTGCTGGGAGCCCTGACGAGCACCCCATATTCCCCAACACAGCACCTGGAGCGAGAGCAGGCTCTTGCTAAGCAGTTTGCAGAAATTCTTCACTTTACACTCCGATTTGATGAGCTCAAGGTAAGAGCTTGTAATCAGAAGGGCTAGAAAAAGAAGCCAAGTATGTTTACTGAAGCAATCTGGGTTGTGTTCTTTTCTGGAATAGAGTGTTCAGTGGATACTGAAGTATCCAATATGCTTGGCTTGCTCTTGTGACCTAGAGTTAGATTAAACTGGAAAGCAGATGAAATATCATATTAGCTTTAGGCACTTGTTGTATTTCAGTTCACATTAATCATGTTTCTTCACCCAAATTTGGCATATCTCTTGGGATAATGGTGCTGCTTTTAGCTTGTGCACACCCATAGTTCAGCTATTTTCTTGCTAACGTGTAAAGAAGGAAGCTGAAAAGGTAACTAATTTGCTGGTCTGATTCTTGGAGTCAAATTAGCAAAGCACCTTTTTTCAACCTACTAATTTCCAACTTGTATTTAGAAGACTGCTCCTTTTCTCGTTTCTGTCAGAACTTGTTCTGAGTCTGAGAAACCAGAAAGCTTTATGCTGCTCTTACCAGCTCCCAGCAGATCACAGGCCTTTTTGTTTCACTTCGGGAAGTTGAATATTTTCTTGTTGGGTGTATTGTATTTTATGAAAACTTGTCCTTACTTTTCTTGAATTTCTCACAACTCTTTTGCTTCCATATCAACATAGATGACAAATCCTGCTATTCAGAATGACTTCAGCTACTATAGGAGAACTCTGAGCCGTATGAGGATTAACAATGTCCCAGTAGGTAACCCTTGGATAAGATGTAATGTAGTCTTCTGTTACCACCTCTCTTCTCCATGCAGAACAACTAAACCCTTTCTTCTCTTTTTTAGGCAGAGGGAGAAAATGAAGTAAATAACGAGTTGGCAAACAGAATGTCTTTATTTTATGCTGAAGCGACGCCAATGTTGAAAACCTTAAGTGATGCCACAACAAAGTTTGTGTCAGAGGTAAGGGTATAAATTTATGGCTTGGATAATGTGCTTCAGAGCACTGCAGGGCCAGACATAATGGGCAACACAACCTCCACCAGAGCTAATCTGGCATCTAGAAATAAAACTTGGGGTTTGAAGCCTCAAGAAATGTAATGTGTCTTTCCCAGATGCTGTAGAGTTAGGGACTCCAGACAGGCACTTTGTGTATGCATCCCCAAAAGTCGATGGGTAGTGTCACATCAGTAGTGATGGCTTTCCTCAAACAGGGAGGTAGGACAGGTAAGTATTTTGCCTACAATGTGGTGGTGGTGGTTTAGAACAGAAATTTTGGAAAATTTCAAGGGAAACATTTTTATTCTCTCTGTTTGAAATAGGGAATGGAATTGAAATGTAGCTTCCTCTTCTCCTTCCCAAGACTCTTTTGTTGCACCGTGTAAAGTCAAGTATACTACATTATTGCAAAAGGGAGAAGGAACCTGAACTGGAAAAGTATTTCAACATTTTAACACATCCCTATTTATCCTTGACTACCTATATAAATATTGGTTGTAAAATCTAGTCACTACAAGTACTGAGCATACCTTCTCGTTACTGTGGTGATTTTTGGCTGATGATTTTTGTGCAAAGAATTCTCACTATTTCTTAGTAAAAAATAATTGTAGATTACATGATCAATGCCAAGTTACATCTGTCTTTTAATGTTCTTTTTTTCCTGAGTTCTGCTTTATGCTTAAAATGCTTTAAGAAAACTGTCCTCTTATTTTGCATTTATTTGTTATGGGTGTCTGCCACAATTTCAAGTTTTACTATTACAGCAGATGAATATATTTGGCTATAGAAATTTTTCTTTGAAGGAGCAATAGATGATTTCTTCAAAATTTTCCAAAAGTCGGTTATGTCAAGGGTGTAGTTCCTGGACTATAAACAAGCAGGCAAAACCCATGTGGTAGCCTTTGCTTTATAAACTGTTAATCTTTATCTTAGTATTGGACAACCTGACTTACCATAGTTGTGTTGATATTTTTAATTGCTCCACATTGCTATGCCAGCAGATAATTGATTTGGCTTAGGTTTGTAGTATAATATTTCACAGTAATTGAAATGTGGAAACTGTTAACCTTCTTCTGCAGAATAAAAATTTACCGATAGAGAATACAACAGATTGCTTAAGCACCATGGCGAGCGTGTGCAGGGTCATGCTGGAAACCCCGTGAGTACAAACACTGCTTGGGCTGGGTGTGAGTCACCTCTCTGTTTCAGACCTGACTTGTGATGCATGAAAGAAATATAATTGGAGTAATTAGGGACTGTGATGTTTCTTTTTTACCAGCCTAGCTGCTTACTTTAACATGAAACCACCTTGTCTCATTTTGCCAGCCACGCACATCATGCGGTCTACTTTTCTGAACATATTAATATTTAAAAATAGAATGGCTATGGAAGCTAGACAACCTCTTGGCACTCTTTATAAGTGGTTTTCTCATGTATAATTCAGAGAAATAGACTATTTGAGCATGATTGCCCAGGGCCTCCTGAAAGAGGGGATGAGGGTAGTGCTCTGGGTGGTGTGTCCTTGCTGACTGGCCTGGCTGATGGCTCTAACAAAATGACAGTGCTTCTCTCAGGGGAATTACAGGGAACTTCCAGGCATGAAACAAGTCAGTTGTCTTTTGTACATTTGAGAAGCGCTGGGAGTATGACCAAAGTCAGGCTAATCCTTGATTATTTTTTTAATCTGTTTCTTTTGTGTTCTAAATAGTTTTCTATTGGTAAAATTACTGGGGCATGAGCTATGTCTTTTTAATTAAGTTTCCATCCAAATACCACAGGACATTTGTTTTGGAGTACATTAAGAGCTCCAAGCATTTATACAGTCACTCTTCTTAGGAATGGACTGTTCCATTTAAAAAAGCAGTTAAAGGTTGTCCGTCAGCCTGCCTTTTTTTCTTTTTTTTTTTCCCCTAAGTGAGAAGTTTGCGTGTGTATTAGATAGAAAGCGGCAGGGAAAAGTGTAGGAAGCGCCAGAGACAAAGTTAATATGTATTGTTTTAATCATTTTTATCCCTGAAAAAACCCAAATGGTGTAGAAGTAGGATCCTGTTTTAAGCTTGAGAATTGTCATTAATCTTCAGGCAACTTTCTAAACAATCACTTGACTTTTGGCAGGTTATTGAAAGGAATAAGGAAAACTCCCATAAGTTTGGGGCTGGTGGATTTGGTTGGGCTTGTTTGTTTTTTCTCTGAAGATTTGTAGTAGAATTTTTCTCTTTAATCTTAATTTGGGTGTTACTAGTATGTACTGTTATCTTGTGTTTCATAGATAATAAGCTGTGTTTTTAAATTCCAGTGAATATAGAAGCAGGTTTACAAATGAGGAAACAGTATCATTCTGTCTGAGGGTAATGGTGGGTGTCATCATACTCTATGACCACGTGCATCCGGTGGGCGCTTTTGCCAAAACTTCAAAAATTGATGTAAGTTTACTGTTGCTAAATAATCTCCTGAGTATTTAAATTGTGTGTAGGCTCCTTTTCTGTCTTGCAGGTTCTAGTAGCAGATGTATACACTGGGTTGGTGCTGAACACGTAGCTGTGAGCAAAAATATATATTTAAGTAGTGAGAAACACAAACTAGACCTTCAGATATGTAAGTGGGTCATGAAAAATCTGTTCTTATGTAATTCAGGTAGTGTCTAGAAATATTTGTAAGCTGTGGTTGTGTTGAAAGATCCAGGTCAGAGGGTAACAATGGCCCCTGGATTGTTCCTCACTGACTGGTGAATAGTTCTGTTCACCATCCCCACCACACTTAGAGTTTCTGACTTTTTACTGTTGTTTGATAGTAAGCCTGTGGAATACATGCTGTTATTGTATGTGCTTTTGTGGTTATTTCAAAGGGAGTAATACCCCATTGTATTAACTACAGGTGGTCTTAATTTCACTGGCTGAATGTAATAATTCTTAATGGATTTATGATAAACATGTATTTTTGCTCACAGTTCCATTATTTTTTAAGGGTGATAAAGCAGAGCTTGAAAGTTACATCTGCAAAAGTTATCACAGAATGGTTTGGGTTGGAAGGGACCTTAAAGATCATCCAGTTCCAGCCCCCTTGCCATGGGCAGGGACAGCTTCCACTAGATCAGGTTGCTTAAGGCCCTGTCCAGCTTCATCTTGAACACTTCCAGGGATGAGGCAGCCACAATGTTCAGTCATTCTCTCTCATCACTAAATGCACTTGTAAAATGTCTCTTTCCAGCTCTCTTGTAGCCCCCTTTAGGAACTGGAAGTTGCTCTGAGGTCTCTCCAGAGCATTCTCCAGGCTGAACAGCCCCAGTTCTCTCAGCCTTTCCTTACAGGAGAGCTGCTCCAGCCCTCTGATTATCTTCATGAACCTCCTCTGGACTCGCTCTGGCACGGCCATGCCATTTTTCTGCTGCTGACACCAGCGCTGGGTGCAGGTGTGGTCTTACCAGAGCAGAGCAGAGGTAGAGAATCACCTCCCTTGCTGTGCTGGCCACGTTTCTTTTGCTGCAGCCCAGGACAGTGTTGGCTTTCTGGGCTGCCAGAGCACTTTGCTGGGTCATGTTGAACTTCTCATCCAACAACACTCCCAGGCCCTTCTCCTCAGGGCTGCTCCCAGTCCATTCTCTGCCCAGCCTGTGTTTGTGCTTGGGATGCCCTGATCGAGTTGCAGGACCTTGCACTTGGAGTTGTTGAGCTTCATGAGTTTCACAGGTCCCACCTCTTCAGCCTCTCCAAGGTCCCTCTGGATGCCTTCCCTCCCCTCCAGATGTCACCCACACCACACAGCTTGGTGTTATCAGCAAAGTTGCTGAGGATGCACTTGATGCAGCTTTTTAAGTAGCTAAGCCAGTCTGTGATAGGAAGATGTAGTACTGAAAGCTTAATTCCTTTCTAATATCCAGAACATGTCTTTGCTCTGCTGCTATTTTTAAATTCTTATTTTTGATCTTTGACATATTGAATAGAAAACATTCCTGTAAACTCAGAAGGTATTAGCCTGGAAAAAACTGTAATTTTTTTAACTCCTAGATGAAAGGATGCATCAAAGTTCTTAAAGACCAGCCTCCTAACAGTGTAGAAGGCCTTCTAAATGCTCTCAGGTACTCCTTTTTGTTTCTTGGTTGTTTTTTTTTAATGCTTTGGTGTGAGTTTTTTATGAATTGTCCAGGGCATTTTCTTTATAGCAAAGTATTAAGTGACTGTTACAGGGAAAGGTGAATGTAATTATTGAAGGCTTTTCTTCTAATGTATCTTGAGACAGGGATGTATGTAGAAACTTCTGTATTTTAACAGGGCTGTGAATTTGCAGGTTTTTTTCCATGCATGCAGGTTAAGAATGAGTCAGTATGGCATGGTAAGTAACTAGAAATTGTTCCTCTTCAGAAAGAAGTAAAGGCATGAGTCTGTGCTGTAGAATAGACAAGACAAGAATTTGCCACATTAATTGGAGAGATAAAGAAAAATGATTAATTCAGTATATTAATCTAAAACCTGTTAATTTGGGTTGTAAAGCTGTATCTGCAGTCAGTCATGTGATCATTGTGTGGGTGTCCAGCATAGGAGAAGTGGCAAAATGAGATAGGCAAATAAAGTCTTTGTTCTTTTCCTTACTTGGAAAAGTGTTATTACTTAGGTAACAAATAACTGTAAACTAGGTGTTGTTACTCATGCACTTGCTTGGAATGTGGAAGCTTTAGTTTGTCTTGTCTGAAATTGTGCATTTGTGATTTGTTTTTCTTATCTGTAGTGAAGATGCTTTAATTTCATTTGCCCTCATTTTATTTTTTGTGTCATGATGTGGCAAGAAGTTAAATAATGTAGTATTGTAGATGGGTTCTTTTGCAAAGTTGTTTCAGATTATTAGTTAAAATTTTAAATATACATGCGTAATTTGAAGCTTCATGTTATTATTTCCATGCTAAAATGATCATCTCTGAACTTCATAAACATGATCAGTCTTTGAGATGGTGATCAGTAAAAACAGAGGGAAAAATGCTGCATTAGCATTTATTTCTGACTCATTTATTGTGGTTGCAGCTACCATGATCACCAGTCCTTACTGGTAGTCCATTTTTCCCATCATTGTTGACACTACAAAAGTGGATGGAAGGTGTAGTTCAGGTGCTTGCTGCACTGAGCGGTGACATGTAACTTTGGGTTAATTACACCACTCACTCTGAGGTTAGCAGTGTGAATCCAGTCCATGCTCTCAAGCTGTGCTTTCCCTGCTCCAACCCTTTCCATGCATGGACACTGTAACAGTCCTGCCTTTGTACATTTGATTACTCTTTGGGTAGGATATTTAAATCTTTTCTAAACCGTTAGGAATCATTTGGAAGAGATGCAGGGGTGAGCTGCTATGAGCATGTGATGAAAACAGGTTTGAGATGTCATCGTGACAAATTAGGTCCAAATCTGAATCTTTGATTCTGGAGGAGTGAGAAGTCCTTGTGTTTTCCCAAGAGACAGATAATGTGTTTCAGAAACAAATGGAAGGTGTTATGGCCTTTGGAGGGAAATCAGCTCTTTGTAATTGCAAATTCATCTGAGCATTGTAATCATGTTCAGCTTTTTCACGTGGGCAGCATACCGAGTGCAGTAACTTTTCAGGATTTCAGAAAACCTTAGGCTGCTTATATGTTGAAAGTATAAATTACCAAAAAGTGCTGAAATCCACAGTATTATTAACTTTGAAACTAAAAAGTCATTATATATTCATCAATGAACAAGTAAAATAGTACTGCAGTTGTGGATAACAATGAAAGTGCTAATTTAACGTGATAAATTACAAAGTAAGTTTTATTTCCTTTTAGATTAGTTAGGAAGGAAGATCAGGGAAATTAATCATACAAAAAGCCTGCAATGAGGATATCTTATAAAAATAGAGATAACTAAGTTTTTTTATAGTGATTTAAAAGTGTGCTATTATCCTAAGAGAATTTTGAAAAGGAAAGGAGCTGAAATAAGCACATGTGTATGCTCTTCAGTTTTAGCAGCAGTCACTTAACTAAGCAGGAAATTAGGATGAAAAGCGATTAAATCCATTATCATTGAGGGATTCTAGGAAGATTTGGTCACTGGAAATTATGAAGAGTTTCTCAAGCTGTCTTGAAGATGTTTTCTGTGGGTAGAGCCCTCAGTCTGATGTCACAGGTGGTACTGTGAGCTTACTATGAAAGCCAATGTCCAGCTGAGGCTTATTTTGAGTCCTCCTTGGTGCAAGGCTGCTAGGTTATAGTTCTGATTAGTAATATCACTTTCTGATCAGAATGTCTGGCTTGGGTTCTCAGTGACCATGGAGTGGGTGATGATCCGTGGCTGAGGGTTTTGCTCTGGTATGGTCAGGTTGAGCCATAAAATAAGAAATAACATATTTGTAAGCTAAAGTGCAATAGCATTTATGCTCATCTTGACTTTATTTCTGTGTTTAGGTACACAACAAAGCATTTGAATGATGAGACTACCTCCAAGCAAATTAAATCCATGTTGCAATAACAATTACCTGGAATTCGCACCTGCTGTAGACAGTATTCTGCAATGACTGAGATGCACAGATTTTTTTTTTTTTAGTGATTGCAACTACTATCTCGTTCATTCTTGCTTTTTATTTTTTCTCTTCCTGTTTACCCTTTTTTTTAATCACTTTCTTGTACCTAAGTAAGCTCAGACTTCTTTTCTGTGCCAAATCAATGAAAATTATCAGTTCTGGAAAGTATTTCTACTTTTCAGAATAGCCATCCTAAGTGGCAGCTAATTATGCGTTGCATTTGGATTTCTCTGTACTGGGGAAAGATTTGTGACTTGAACTAAATATTTTTAAACTTGTGGTTTTTTTCTTTTTTTGAAAAACTAATATTTAATATTGCTTCTTCTGCATGGCAAGACTGCCTACTTCTGCTATTTAAAAATCCCTTGATGACTTCATTTTCTATTGCAGCTTATTTTCATGTGCAACCATGAGGAAACTAAAAGCAGATTTGTTTAAATTAACTGTGTTTGTACAAAATGGTACCCAACACAAAAGTTTTTTTAAATGAGTAAAAACTGTTTTGTTTAAAAGTTACGTTTGCATTTTGACTCATTTTTGTAAGGATGTATGTTGTATGTTTAACCTTTAATAACTAACGTTAAACTGTGGTGTGTGCGTAGCAAAATTACGTATGCATGTTCATGTCAAATGATTGGCTGTGGATAAGATAATAAAATCAGCTTTCATTTTTCTAAGTGTGGTTTGATTTACCAGTATTTTGAGTGAGATGTCTTCGTGCTCTTTGGATTTTTACAAAAAAATAAATTTATAAATTTTATATAGTGAAAACTCTGCTGTTTCATTACCAGTAACCAGTTGCCTAATCCACTGATTTAAGCCTAGTGTGTTTTAGGGTTCTTTCTCTCCACTCTGTGCTGCTTCCCTCTCCCTGAGAATTATTACTCAGGTAGGGTTGGTGGTGAGGAACTTGGTGCAATCCTTATAGATCCCAGTGGACGTTGCTGAAGAACCTGCATCTGAGCTACCCATGCTGCCTCCTCAGTACAGCCATCAGAAATGACTCTGCACTTTGGGCTCTTTCCATACCAGTGGTGGGGAGGTGAACTCCCCTCTCTCTGTACTGATGGATCTAGGATGGATCTAGGTATTTGTACTGTGTAAAATCTGAGTAATCACAGCATACTAAATAATGTCTCTTCTTAGGGTAATAAATTATAGCAACATGTCTTACACAGGTTGGTGAAGAAATAAAAGCTTTTTTGGGAGGGAAAGGATCTAAGGGGAGAAGTTACAGCCCTTCCAAAGGACCTTGGCAGGTTGGAGAGATGGGCAGAGAACTGTGTGAAATTCAGCACAGGCAAATGCAAGGTCCTGCACCTGGGAGGAACAACCCTGGGCACCAGCACAGGCTGGGGACCGACCTGCTGGAGAGCAGCTCTGTGGAGAAGGACCTGGGGGACAGGAGCTCTCCATGGGCCAGCAGTGCCCTGCGGGCCAAGGCCTGTGCTGTCCTGGGGTGCATTAGGAGCACTGCCAGCAGGTCAGGGAAGTGACCCTGTCCCTCTACTCAGACCGTGTGGCCTCACCTGGAGTGATGTCTCCAGTTCTGGGCTCCTCAGGACAAGGCAGACATGGAGCTCCTGGAGTGGGTCCAGTGCAGGGACAGGAGATTCTCTCTTACAAGGAAAGTCTGAGGGCACTGGGCCTGTTCAGTCTAGAGAAGAGAAAAGTGAGAGGGGACCTCATAAGTGTCTGTCAGAATCTGTAGGGAGGTGTCAGAGGATGGACCAGACTCTGCTCTTGGGCAGAAACTGATGCCCAGGAAGTTCCACCTGAATATGAGGAAGAGCAACTTCACTGTGCAATGACCAAGCACTGGCAGAGACTGCCCAGAGAGGGTGTGGAGTATCCTCACTGGAGATATCCAAGAAGTGTTTGGACACAATCCTGTGCCATGTGCTGTGGGATGACCCTGCTTGAGCAGAGAGTTTGGACCAGATGTCCCACTGTGGTCCCTTCCAGCCTTACCCACTCTGGGATTCTGTGAGAACAGGAATTGAGAATAACTGGGAAACTCTGGGAAATTACACATTTTACACTGATGAGGAAGCATCAGTGCTTCTCGTGTGGGGCATCGTTGTGATTATGCCTAACATGAGTTGTCAGTGTTCTGGGAAGGAGACTTGAAACCTCCAGGCAAGTGTGAGTCCCTCAGCTTTATTTGGTGGACAAGTAATGTTTTGTAACTTTGCATATGCTGGCTCCAGGTAGAATGTATCAGTGTGACCATGCTTGAGTTCCTATGGATATTCCTTCTGCACCATCAAGAAGTGTTTTCCTTTCAATCTTTTCTTTGTTTGTTGTGAAAAATTGTGAATTGTGACACCTGAAGACTTTGGAGGCAGTTCAGGTGTGTACTGTGGGTATCTGTGTGTACATCTCTCTTAGGGCAAGGCATTTTTTCTTTCCAGCCAAAGATGCTTAGCCAAGGTCTTGGTCACAGAGAAACCAGCTCATGTGCTTTGTTGGCCACAGGAATAAAATACTCTTGCTTTGTCATGACACTACTCTAGTCCTTTTGACAATATCACAGTTGAATCAAGCTGAGGAAAGACAAAATTGGATTTGTTTGGGGTTTTTAAAAAGGAAAAAAATCTTTCCCAGACTAATGTAAATGCTACAAACTCTATATTAAACTGACCCTTCTGCAGAGCTCTGAAAGGGAAACTGTCCTCATCAGTTCATCACCCTGAAGAGGAAATAATAATTTAGTGTCAGCCTTGTTGCTGCAAATACAGTTAAGGAATAATAATCCCAGGATGAGCAAATCATGCTCCTTCCAGTATCACTTTCTGTAAGTAAAGCTTTCTAAAGGAAATCTAATTTACAGAGAATGGGTTTGAAGCACAACTTGTGTATTTGACAGTTTTCACTTATGATTTTATTGAAAAACACTTGAAACAGTAAATCAGGCCTGAGTGCTGTTGTGGCAGAACCAGCCATACAGCAGATTTCCTCTTTGTCTTGCCTCAGTGGCTGCTGACTAAAACAACACAATTTCTTCAGCTGACTGTTTTGGACAGATCTTCCTTTCTGCTGCCCTGACAGCATCTTTGCTTTTAAACATTGTTTTTCTTGTGGTCTGAGAATAATTGGAGCTTTCCTTTTTCCCCTCTGGCATTTGTGTTTTGCAGTTTCTCTGTGTACGCAGCTGGGACGGGAGATTAGAGCTGGCTTGCCTTGGAGTTGGCTGGCCCACTGCTCCAAAAGCTTCCCCACGCATGAGCTTTCCAAGAAAACAGGCTCTTCCAGTGCACCAGGCATCAGCTGTTTGCAGTTTTGAGCTGAAACTGCTGTGTGCTCCTGCTCAAGCTTTGGTGCTGGCTCCTTGCAAAACCACATTTCAATCTTGCCTGCTGCATCTTATCTGTGCCAATGGACAGGAGAGCAGCTGGCAGGCCCAGCACTAAGTATGGGTCACTGAACAGCCTCTATGAAAGTTTTTTGGGGAAATTTGCACTGTTTGGAAGAGCCACCCTGTTGTGTGTGATAGCCTGTAATTTTGGGGGGCTGGGCTGGGGAGTGCTGAATGGTTAAAATAGATGCTGTGCTCAAATGAGCCACCCTCCCTGTGCTGTGAGCTTGTGTCACCAGCCTGTAGCTGTTGTGGATGAAAGGCCTTCTCCTCATGATGCTGTGTCTCTGAGTGTAAACACTATTTCTCCTTTCTTATGAGCCTAAGGTTCCACAGATGGTTCTCTGGAATAAACATCCCCAGTGTGTGTGATGTGTGTCACAGACAGTGCAGAGGCTGCATGGCTGACACTGTGCACCACCCCCAAGCTCTGGAATGGTGCTGCAGTTCTTTAGTACCAGCCTGCTTGAGTGATGTTGATTTCAGTTCCTTAAATTTCACTTTAAATTATGGAAATGTCTCTCCTAAAAAAAGTGACTTTCCTGTCCATATCTTCTGTTAATAAACCACATCAGGATTTCACTTTGCCAGAAATGCTGCCTGTTTCAGTGTAGTTTTATTGTGATTGGAACAAATCTGGAGAGAAGGACCCTGAAATGGCCTTGCTTCTTGTGGACTTGGAGCATTCCTGTGCAAACATCTCATTCTGGATGAACTGTCCTCTGGCTGCTTTCTCCTGGCTGGCACAGCCAATGCCAGCATGTCTTTTGGAGCAGGGATGTGATTACTCTGCAGACTGCTGCTCTACCTGAAGGCTGCTCATCTTCCTTTTCTTTGGGTTTGCGAAGCTTGGTGTTGTCTTTCTGTCCCTGCAAAGACTTAGACTGGTGAAATAACTGGCAAGGAGTAGTTAAGGCAGTTGCTGTGAGTTTGTAGTTAGTTGTGGGATTTGAGGTGTAGGAAGTTCACTGTGATGTTCCTGGGTGCTGCAAACACGTGTAGTCACAAGTCCTGCTGGATGTTGGAAGCATCCTTGAGGGTGCCTTTTTTGGCTGCAGTGGTGAATTGCTGATTTCTCAAAATCTTGAGAAATAACTTTGTAAAGCAGCTTCATTTGTCAAAACAGAAAACTAGCTCTAAATTACCAAGCTGTTTGCTCTTTCTTGCCCTTTTGGGCTTTCTACCAGCCTAAGTATTTGGAAGAATTATACTGGGCTTCTCCCAGGCTTATACAGGGATACCATGTGCTGCAGAAAGATGTCAGATACAGCTGACACTGCTGAATCACTTGAACCCTTGGATGTTTCATTACGTGGATTCACTGTTGTAATTACTTTACCAGCAAATGCTCGAGTGCATGGTAGGCTGGTAACAAGTTACACAGACTTGGTGTGTCGTGAACATGCTTCCTGAAGTTGCCATTTTATGTGAGTGGTCCTGGAGCTCCCAGGGCCACAATTATTTGGAGGCTCTCCTCAGTTGCCCTGCTCAGTCATGTCTGTTTTACAGCTGCAGCTTCACCCAAGACAGACCCTTTGTCTTCCTTTTGAAAGCATTCATCTTACCTGTCTCACACGTGGAAATGTGTTGATGCTGTCAGTTATCTTCCATGTGCTTCTGAGGAATTATTGAGGACAGGTCTTAGAAGGGCTCCTGAGACATCAGCTTGTGCAAGAGGAGTTGGAGAACTTCGGGTGTATTTGTCTTCTCTGCCTCAGCAGTGTGCTGTGAACTGCAGCAGTCTGCTACCCCCTGCAGGCTCCTGCCCCAGGGCCCTGCATTCCCTGCTCATGCTTGAGCCCTGTCCCAGAGCCAGCACGTTACTGCAGGGATCAGAGGTGTCCAGGAGTTGAGGTGAGGAGTTACAAGCACCTGGTGACCATGATGATGAAGTGAGATATAGGAGTGCTGTGCCCTGTCCTGCTTCCTGCTGTGGGCTTCCCTTGTTAGAGGTGGCAAATTCTTGTTGATCCCAAGGTCTCCAGAGGAGTGTTTCTCTGCATTCTCCCCTTCCTTGCCATTCAGGGTGTAGCACTGGTGTCCCCATCCTCAGAAGGAGGGAGAGCTCCTGCTGCAGGTGACAGAGGTGACTTCTGTGGTCATGGTAGTCTAAGACAACCCCATGTCAGAACTGGTCTGGCAAGAACATGTATCTGGCCTGATACATGGCCTGACCCATCTCTTCCTTGGATGTTGGCAAGGAAACAACTTAGCTGCTTATTTTATCCTTCCTTTTATCCATGTTCCTGCATTATGTGATTTCCCATGTGCCTATTATGTCAAAGTGATACTTCAACATTGGCCAAATGATGGGCCAAC